ATAACACTGAGATGTTGGTGCATGCATCTCTAATCTGTATGTATCTGATTATTACTAGTCATAATTTGTTGCACTCGGATCCTTGACACCTGTGTATGTCTATAAAGTCATCGGGTAGATTTCAGTGGTAATGTTTATCACCTCTACTAATTAACATGATGTAAATTTCCATGCTTCTTCCTCAAATATAATTCATTTCTTTAATTTGCTGCTTTTTTTTGTGTGTGTGTATCTATCACACAGAACATCCCAAACCATCTTATTCAACTGTACACCCACTTCTCAGATGGCACCCTCCCATAGCTCACTAGAGCCCTTATACTCTGTTATCCCTGCTACTGTCTGCTGTGTTGTCGGCTTATCTAGAGGTCTTTTTTTTAAAGAATTTAAGTTCACATAAGGGAATGAAATGAGCCCTTGCACTCTGCTCAGAAAACTCCTCTTCTAGTCCTCTGATCTGCCTCTTCCCCCTCCCAATGCCCCCCAACCTCCCCGGGAGCAGTGAACGGCTGGCTGGACCAGCTCTCTGTGCCAGGACCTGTTATGTTTGCATTTGTGGTTTTCCTGCCTTTGGTCATTCTCTACATTCTAGGAGAGTGGTTCAATTCAATCTCAACAATACTAGCTTCACAGAACGTAATACTGCTTCTGCTTCATATGCTTTTGATGCTTATTTTAATTATTTCATTGCACATTAATGTCCTAACTACCCTTCCCTTTCCAACACATTTGATTGCTTTTTATTTCTGTCAGGTTTTACTTGTCTGGTTCACAGACTCTATTCCCCTCTGTGATGCCAAGCAGCTTTTGCCATGCTTGCCCTAGGTCTGGTAATGGGCCGTTTTCCAAGTTGAGTCCTTCATCTCTAGGTACCACTTCACTCCTTGCTGTTTGTTGTACAGGTTATTTCTTTTTCTTGGCTTACCTCCTGGCAGGTTGATGTCAGTTCAGCATTTGCCTGCAAATGGTTTCTGTTTGACCCTGTCTCAGAGCTCCAGTTCAGGGAAAACTGAGGCACAAAGGTCCCAGGTGAGGTACCAGTACTTTACCTCGTGTGCATTTTTGCTGTACAAAGGTATCATATCTTATTGTTTCCATTCTGTTTCTTTCAATGCCTGAATTGACAGAAAACAGCACAGAGTACAATTCCCAAATACAGTAATACCATTTCTTTTTACATCTCCCACCTCTTCCCCATCCTTTCTCCTCTTATTGCCTTGGGACCCTCAGAACATTTTCCACTACCACCCCCAGCACATATGTCACCTCCTACCCACCTACCCTTAGGGAATTGCTGATTCATCTGTTCAAACACTGGTTGCCAGGGAGTAAAGGATGGGAAGATGCACTGATCTCACAGGGCAGAAGGCAGTATTTTATTGTCCAAATGCTGAGTCTTTGAGTCGACAATGAAGAAGGCACAAATGTCTATATTCCTGTTGTTGGTACCTCTATTTAGCAAGCAAAGATGAGGTTATACCGTCAGCTAAATCTAAATCTATGAATGCATAGTGGGGAATCCTGGCTTCCTGTTCAATGTCTACAACACTAAAAGCCAGTTTCTTCTGTGGTCTCCACTTCTATGAATGGCACTTCTACCTACCCATTTACCTACGTCAGAGACTGGGGGACTGTTTGGCTCCTTTCCCTGCCCTCACTTCCCACATCTAAGAATCTGCAAGTTCCGTATGTTTTCTAAGTATCTCTGAAAGCTGTCCACCAGCTATTTCCATGATTCATTATCTTCATTTAAATACTTCCTACATGATTATTTTGTTAGACTGACTTCTCAGTCTTTCCTCTACTTCAAACCTGATTCACCCTTTATCTCACATCATCCATGTAGGCCAAAATCTCTGGAGCTACCCTTGACCCTGCTCAGTCATCTCTCCCTTTGACGCCCACAGCCATCAGAATGTCACCATGGACTCTGGTTTCAAAATGTGCCTGATTCCCGCTACCTCTCACCCCTGCACTGCCACCAGCTCAGTCTGAGTTACTGACCTCTTTTGCCTAGGCAGTCATGGCACCATGAACTTGTGAATCAGTTTTGCCCTTCTGTAGTTCACCATTAACTGAGCAGCCAGCACGATCAGTTTCAAACACAAATCAGACCATGCACTTTTCTGCTCAAGACCCGTGATGGTTCCCTCAACACCCCCTGCCCAGTGGCTTCCAAAGCCACTCCCCAGCCCTGCCCTGGAACTTCCAGACTTCATCTTCTCTTAGTCCATCCCTGAGACACCCCTCTCTAACCAGACACTTCCTGTGCGTTCTCCTCACCTGGCCTTGGTTCCACTTTCCTTCTACCTGACATCTCTCTAGAATCCCCATGACCCAACTCTGCTCAATGTCACCTTCAACAAGCTTAAACCTACTGCAGTGCAAGCTGTTATGCCTCATCACTCTTGTTCCTGTATTCTGCCCTATTTTTTCTTTGATAAGCACCCTCCTATCTCATAATTTGCTTATTATGCTGTTGATTTTTATCTGTTGCTATCCATGCTACAAATTCTATAAGGAAAGGGATTTGTGTCTATTTGAACACTACATCCCAAGTGCCTAAAGAGTGCCTAGACAGAATGGGCACTGATTTAATAACTATTGCCTGAATAAATTAATGAATGAACAGCATTCTGTTCTGTGTTCCTGGCTGTGTTCTGGGCCCTTGCACATGGTGTAACTCCAAGTTTTCCTTCCTCCATTCTGCCATGCCCGTACCCTGAAGTCCAGGAGATCTGTGTGTGGTTCCCCCAGAACTTCACAACTACTTCCTGTCTATGTGTCTCTACATGTACCTTCACCTTGTCAGCTGATCAATCCCAAGCAGTTTGCTACTCCTGGAAGCTCTTTCAAAGCACAAGAGAGTTATGTGTTCCATTAGCTGTGGTTCCTTCCTTGAATTACATTTCTTCTGCGTATATCATTGTCAGACCTTGGATCAAAAAGATAAATATTAATTTATCTTTTATTTCAATAGTAGTATAGCAGTTGTTCTATGAATACATGACTAGATATGACTAGATGGACATGTGAGTAGAGAGTGGGTGGACAGACAAATTTTAAAATGCACAGTTCCAGAATCATCTCCAAGCTCACAGCAGGGGTGGAGGCTGGCTTTTGGGCAATACCGTGCATTTGGCATGCATTCTGTAAGTAATTATTGATAAAACACAGTGATTCTTCTAGTAAAACTGGCATCTCAGATCCTAACTGTGGTATAAACTCATTTGCCATTGCTTTTTTCAATAAGAAAAGACCAAATCATACCATCATGATCATGATATAAGGCTAATAACTTGAATCAGGATCCTACCACAAAAGTTAGAACAATTTTCAGTGAGCCTAATCTAGTGTGAGTAGGCTAAATGAATGTTACAGCTCTGGCTCAGACAGAATACAAATTCATTTATTAATATT